AAAGCAGCTCTGAGTTCAGAAAGGCCTTCTGTTGAAATGATGACGACCGGTGGCAACAACTTTCCCATCATATTGCACTTTAACCCCATGCTTGACAACTATTTAATCAAGGTAAAACATGCTTCAGTAATAACAAAACTTAAAGAAGACTCACCTGTGGTTTCACGCAAGAATGAATGAATCCAGGGTGAGGACAGAATAACAAACAACCCAGGATGGATCATGAATGTTTTCAGGGTTTTTTTGTTGTTACAATCTAGATGTTGTTTTCATACATTTATGTCCAAATATAAGCAACATTCTTTTCCTGGAGAATTTGCCAGAAAGGTAGTAAACAACATTAGCCTGTTTGTTAAAGAATGGTCATTTAGATGGAAGATAAAATGGTTTTTAAACTTCTTAGGTCCATTATCCTGTCCACATCCTGCGTTAGAGGTCTCAGATGTTGACAGGTCACTTCTGAATGATCTTTTCAGTCAGTCAGATTAAATAACGGAGAGTGAAAACCTGACAGCGAACATGTTCTTTTTGACAATCATGTTTTGTGGTGCAGTGCTTTAAAAATCTCCACAGGATGGGGATACATTTTTCGAGTCAATCGTTAGCTCCCCCACAATCACGCACATTATTCAGTCAGAAACCAGATCTGCTGCAGGACTCAACAGAACATTTGGCACTGAATTATTTACAGTGTAAAACTCTTACTATCAATTCACAGAAAAACAGGGCAGATGAGTGCGTAATTGGGTTAAAGGTCAAGGAATTTTAGGATCCCTCTCAGCAGTTTTTGAACACTGATGCATTTAGGAAAGAGAAACACCCCTCCACTTTCTCCACACTCTACATGCTGCACCCGTTTCACTTAAGGTAAAAAAAAAAGTCACATATATACAGAGTGTTGCACTGGCTGCTGCTTGTGTTAAATATTACAGTACAATCATTGAAAAATACACCTGGACACATACATAACCACAGGGCGTATGCTGCGTGTACATCGCAGACTTCGCTCATTTTAAATTTGAATCACGCTTTGAAATGCAGTTCGGGTTGCAATACCCCTGCTGGCCAGCAGGTTCTGGTTCCAAACACATTGAATGGATCATCTGAGTTTTTTTAAAGTTAAATTCCCAGTATAAACTTGATTCAGATTTTAGAAAAAGGTCATGTGAGCCGATTTTGAAACCGAATAAATGTCTAAATTCCCAGTATAAACTTGATTCAGACACTCAGTCTAAATGAGATTTTAGAAAAAGGTCATGTGAGCCAATTTTGAAACCGAATAAATGTTCTAATTGATTTCTTAATGAAAAACTAATGGAAATTTCTTTTTTCTATCAGACCTTTTAAATGTGTCACAGGGAGAAGATAGTTTTAGGTTCATCAGCAGCGAGCCCACACACTTTTTTTCTTTTAAAATACGCTAAGTGGCTAACTCTTAGCATCACAAATGACAACACAGTTGCCCCTTAACAAAAAAACAGCAGCTTTTCAGTAGTGAGGGTTGGAGGTGGTACACATGCTTCACACTGCAGTTATTTTTACAGAACAAAAAATGCAACAAAAGTTTAACATGTTTGCAAAAAGTGACCAAGGACATTAAAAAAGAACATTCTAGAGGCACATAAATTAATAAAGAGTCAAAACAGGAACACAGCTAAGGACAAATTCAGTCCAATAGATACTGTACAAATTAACCACAACTTCCTTTGCCGTGTGGATCTCCGTGATGCCCCACAGCGGTTTGACTTGTTCCTAAATCCTTGAACAGCACACACTCCCCGCTGTAAGTGGTCCGTGTGGCTCTGTGTGAGTCTGGTCAGAACATATGGCACCTTTCACATCCACCTGGCACCAGTGAAAGTGTTTTGTAGTGCATGTTTGCGCAACGATAACCTGCCGAGGGGCTATTCCGTGTCACAACAAGGTACAGTTTCTGCCCCTCCCCCCCCCCCCCCCCTTTTCATTTAGTGTGTCTGTGTTAAGGTTCAAGCCCGTGGTTCCAGTTTGTGAGACAGCTCAAAGAGAGTCTGCTGATTGTCGATAATGTGCAGGTAGTTTACACTGGCCCTCACCTCTGCACTGTCGACCCCGATTACCTCATTACCTGGATGAATAGAAATAACGATAATAAAAAAAGCTGTTAGCGGTCGTGTATTCCTCCACTTCACACAGTGACACACACACACTCACACACACGTGTTTGCTTTGAACAGTGTTCATAGTCCAAAAGAGGAAATCAGAGTTTCTGAAAACGGTTGCTTGGAAACTGCAGATTATCTTACAAGCCACTGTATACGACTCACCTGGTTGGTCACTCTGGCAGTGGCGAATCATTCTCACCGTGTCTGCGATCATGTGCTGTTGGTTTAGAGGAGAAAACATTCCGTCTGTGACAAAATCACTCAAACAATTTAACAAACTTGTGTCAAGAAAATTAAATATAAAATAAATACAATTCAATCTAATCTCATTTAAATTAGATTCAAACTCTGCAGAATGTTGCTATCACTTCACAAATGTGTTTTTACAGAGACAAAGTCCTTTTGACTTTGAAAACATTAACGTTAAAACAGTAAAATAAGTAGCTCTGGCTTTTGAACGACAAGAACTGAGCTCACCAGCTTTTCAAAGTTGACCAGGTTGTCATGGAAGGTCTTGTTTCCCTCGTGGATAAAGGTGATATCTGCAAAGAAAGATTGGATTTGCCATCATTGTGGGTAAGAAAAATGAGGGCGCGTCAGCAACGGTAAGTGTGGTGGATCGTACCTTTCAGAAGAAGAGGCATGAAGGGGATCTTTGGAGGTTTCATCCTCTTGAAGGCTTCTCTGTAGGCTTTGTGGTTCAGAGACGGGTCCTGCCATTTAAAAAAACACCACCAGTCAGACATAAACATCAATCATCGGCGGTCAAAGCTGACTTCCATTGTTCAGCGTTCGAGTCTCACCGTGATGAGCTCCAGTTCTGAGAAAAGCTTCTTGAACTTCCCCGGACATTTCTGAGAGGGAAACATTGTCCAAACGTATTTGTTATAAAGTAACTGTTTGACAGACACAGGCAGGAGAGACGCACACTGACCTCCCAGGTTTGGTTTAGTCTGCTCACAGCTGCTGTGTTGAGACCCATGATGATGGCAAATGCAGAGTTTAGGTTTCTTTGAGCCTTACAGCTGTAGGCGCACACACACACACACACACACGGATCACAATCAGCAGACACCGTCACTGCTTCAACAGTACATTCAGTTGTAGATGTTGTTGGATGTATCTTACTGTGCAGCGATCTTGATGAACTTCTTCAACAGCTGCACTCGCTTGTTCAGAGACACACACATGAGCACCTCGGACATGACCCACTGCTGGACTTCGTTACACCGTTGCAGTAGGACGGAGAGCGCGGGCGTGTGGCCCGTACCAGGGGCACGGCTGAGGGTGTAGTACACCAGCTCCTGCTGCACGTGGTAAGAGCAGGTGTCATGGATCAGTCTCACATTGTTAAAGGTGCATTGTTATGAATATTTCACTATGAATCTGAGGGGCTCATGGCCCTCCTCATCCCTGGTATCATCTGTGCCCACGGGCTCCTGACCCAGTGACTTGATTTACCTTGATTATTCATGATTAATTACAAACCCAAATATTAATTAAACATATTAAATGAATGACCAATAGGTTGGAGAGCCCTGGTTTGCAGAGTACAGTGTGAGGGTAAGTCCTTACCTCGTGAATGGATTTGAAGAGATTCCAGTCCAGGTGCGTTAAGGCAGCGGCCACGTCCCAGGTGTTGATGCCCAGCAGCCTCACTGGCCGCCTGCTGAGCTCAGCACTGTCTGTTAAAGGAGGCTGGGTATAGACACAGAGACGTGAAGGGTGACTGTGGACACACCACACTTCTGGTACAGAACATGTAACAACGGAGTACTCAAAAAAAAAGTCACTTTTGTTGGTTGATGAAGAGTACATACCAGGATCTCATGGAGGTCCCTGCGACACGCCACGAGTCTTCCCTGTGGAGTCAGAGACTCTGAATACACACAGTCACTGGGCTGTAACACTCTCCGCTCTAAAAGAGACGACAACGGCCACGACAGACATTAGGGAAGGAGAGGGAGGTAAAACGAGGGAGCAAAGAGTCAAGGATGAATCCCATCGTGTGTTTCTGTTGTTGTTGCAGCTCTGTGTGTGAGCAGCAGACGTAGCTGAAGGCTTGGTAAAGCAAAACATTCCCTGACACTTAAATTACTCTTACAACTTTTTACCAGGAGGAAATGGACTTTTCCACAGTGAGACGACATTCCCTGTTGTGGTGTGTGTACCTCCAGAATGTGAAACGACAGCCAGGACCATGTCCTCCTCTGCTTTGTCCATCTTCAGGGACACAATCCTTAACAATTCATGCGCCTCCATCGAAGGGCGTATGTGGACACTAAAGTAGGAGTCCGCGCTCACGTACACGCAGCAGATCACTGTCGAATAAGGCGGAAAAACGTAATAGCGTAGTGAGATTATTTTTAAATCTGCATGTACAAATTTAAATCTATTTTCCAGCACACGCTTATGGGTATTTGTCATCTTTTGTCACCACCGGCTCTTCACTCACCGTCTCTTTTGTCGGCCTGTGGGCTTCGAACGTGCAAAGAGTTTTCCTTCAAACTTAGCTGCTGGTACATTTGTTTACTCTGACAGACAACGCAGAAAGAAGAGCACAGTCAAAAATATGTCAAGAATCAAAACACCAACTGACTGAAGTTGAAGGAATGGTGCTTTTAAAACATACAAAGTAAGTATAGCATTTGGGTTTTCACTGTTTACCAATGGTGAATTTTAAATACTACCTTTTAGAGAGTATAAGGATATGACTGACCTTTTGGTTTGGTGGACAGTCATCCACAGTGCTAGGAGACACAGTAACAGAGAGGTCAGAGTGGCGGTACAGTCAGACCCAGGACAGTCTTGTGCAAAGATGAACCAACTTACTGTCGCCGACGCAGAAGTTTCTGGAACTCCTTCAGATCTTTCTCCAGTATGGGGAACTCGTACAGGTCCTCTAAAACACACCTGTAAAGGGTCTGATGAAAAGATGAAAAGATGAAATACGTAAAGTGAAAAACTGTTCATTTGTGCGAAGCAAGATTTTACAGAAAGAAGAAAGAAGTCAATAAAAAGGTTGAGTTACATGATACACGATTGGTCAATTAGTTTGACTCTGAATAACTGACTCCTTAATTGTATTTTTTCACTACAGGACCCGGGGGCCACATCTGGCCAGCACTGTAATTTTATCTGGCCTTCATATATGCAGTATGCTACGGTTCCCAACTGAACATTTTATTCACACTGCACAGACCTCCTCAGAAGTACTGAGTTAAAATGAAACTTCATAAATTACACAGAAACAATCTAGTACCTCTGTACTTTGTACTTCAATGCTTGGCTAAACATACTCTGTAGTGTTTGTGTACAACAGAGACTCAGCACAACGCATGATACAAATCCCCATATCGTGGCTCTGTGAACAGTGTTAAGTCCCTGCAGCCGGAGTGGTTCCTGAACGCACCACTCACATTAATAGATCCACCTGCTCGTCGTTTCTGACCTACTGTAGCCTCCCATCCCAAATCTCCTCTGTTACTTAGCAACGATCACCTGGGTTACACACTCTATATGAGATTATACCCATGCCAACCCTCGCACTTTGGTTGCCACGGCAACCCAGCACCGAGCAATGGAGCCTTCAGGTTACGATGTACAATAGATAGTTGAGGTTCTGTGTCTGTTGTGGTTGTTTACAGTAAAAGAGTACACCAGGGTACCAGGGATACCCAAAAGTACTGACTGTAAGTATTTT